GGCCTTATCCGCACTGAGTGCCGAAAAGTAAAAATAATTGTCAAGCAACAATAAGTGCACCTGTTGACTTTGACAAATGATGACAAATTTTTCCTCTGTTTCCATATCAGCCAACATCTATACAAACACTGAATATAATTTGACACATTGTCAGATTTGTGTTCTCCATTTACATGCAAGAATCTACAAACTTCTTCCGTATCAAATTTAAACGCTTTAAAGTGAACAGCTCTGACGAGGATTTCAACTTTTTGTTCTTTTTTTTTTTGTTATGTAATTTTTTGATGAATGAATAGGTTCGCTTCAAGTTAATTGAAAATAATTGAACAAATTATCGTTTTTTTTTTTTAATTTTTGTTGTTACCTACCTGATATGAAGCTCGTAGGAAAAATTTTGTTCCTAACACGCGCGCAAAGTGTCTTTTCCGCACGCAAACACTTATCCGAACTCCGCTTCGCGTCGTTCGTGTAACTGTGTTTGCGTGCGGAAAAGTAACACTTTGCGCACTTGTTAGGAAAATAACTATTTCCTACGAGCGTGCGCAAAGTAGTACTTTTCCGCACGCATTATCGTTCTCAAAGTTACACTTTTCCGCACTCAGTGCGGATACGGGCCTTATCCGCACTGAGTGCCGAAAAGTAAAAATAATTGTCAAGCACCTGTCGACTTTGACACATGATGACAAATTTTTCCTCTGTTTCTATAGGTATCAGCCAACATCTATACAAACACTGAATATAATAAACTTTGACACATTGTCAGATTTGTGTTCTCAATTTACATGCAAGAATCTACAAACTTCTTTCGCATCAAATTTAAACGCTTTAAGATGAACAGCTCTGACGAGGATTTCAATTTCCTGTTTTTTTGTTATGTACTTTTTTGATAAATGAATAGTTTCGCTTCAGGTTAATTGAAAATAATTGAACAAATTATCGTTTTTTTTTAAATTTTTGTTGTTACCTACCTGATATGAGGCTCGTAGGAAAAATTTTGTTCCTAACACGTGCGCAAAGTTTCTTTTCCGCACGCAAACACTCATCCGAACTCCGCTGCGCGTCGTTCGTATAACTGTGTTTGCGTGCGGAAAAGTAACACTTTGCGCACTTGTTAGGAAAATAACTATTACCTACGAGCGTGCGGTAAAGTGCACTTTACCGCACGTATTTGCAAATGGAAAGTATCACTTTACCGCACACTATGCGGTAAAGTGCACTTTACCGCATAGTGTGCGGTAAAGTTAACTTTACAGCATAGTATGCGGTAAAGTGGACTACAAAGTGTGCGGTAAAGTGAACTTTACCGCATAGTGTGCGGTAAAGTAAAATTTAATATTTTTAATTAGAAATCCTCTCTTTTTCAGAAAATGGATTTTTGATCATTTCTACATCTAATCTAATTTCATTAATTAATCTGATTCAATATTTAATTTTATCAATGCCTTTTTTTATGCTCATAGGTAAAATTTTGTACCTAACACATGCGGAAAGTGCTTTTACCGCCCTTAACGGCTTGACCGAACTCCGCTTCGCGTCGTTCGGTCAACTGCCGTTGCGTGCGGTAAAGTATCACTTTCCGCATTTGTTAGGTAAATAACTATTAAAATTTTTAGAACCAAATATGTTGGAGATGGCTCAACCAAATATAGACAAACTATATAGTTTTGGAAACCGGAAATTGTGTTCTTCAAGAATATAGAACCAAATACATATAGCGCATCCTATTTGAAAAAAGCTGAACATATGCAATATTTCACATTTCTGACATTCAATTTTTGTTTTTGACCATGGATTTTAAAAATTTATCCAATACTTATCTACCTATAAAGGTAAAGGTTGTAGGTGGGATGTCAATATAAAAAAAAAACACCCTGTACAGGGTATTTGATTATATTTGGCACCATACCTACAGCCTCTACTATTTAAGATAGAAGAAAATTGTAAATACAAAACTTGACAGTTTTTTTCCATATTTTCTCTTAACATTATCAGAAAAAACACAATCGCATCGGAAAATGGAGAAACGTAGACATCTTCGACTTTTTTAAATGGAACACCCTGTATATTTTGCGATAAAATGAAAGACCTTTTCTTCCTGATTACAAATATATATATGTTGACCACATTTGCGTCAGCCATTTTTGACATATCGTAGCTTAAATTATAACTAAATTACAAAGAAATTTTATAAAGATAGAGATCCTTATGGAACTTTCTCTGCGAATTCTTTATAATTTAACCTGAGATATGTCAAAAATTGCTCACGCAAATGTTATTAATATATATATATTTGGAATCAGAAAGAATAGATCTTTCATTTTATCGCATAATATACAGGGTGTTCCATTAAAAAAAGTCGAAGTTGCTCACGTTTCTCCATTTTCCGATGCGATCTTGTTTTTTCTGATAACGTTATCAGAATATATAGAAAAAAACTGTCAAGTTTTGCATTCAAATTTTTTTTCTATCGGTTCAAATCCTGCACAAACCCCAACTTTTTCAATTTTCCTTTGACTTTAATTTCCACAAATTTTCTTTGTAAAACTAGTTTCGGTACCTATAACCGACAAAAATTCTCCCTTTGTTCAACTATGCTTACGTCGCATGGCGTACATAAGAAATTTTAACACATCGTGGACGAAACCTGCACATAGTGGTATAGGTGACTTACCCTAGCAGGACCGATGCCACATTCGTGAGCCATTGGAAAATTGAAAAACGTTTGGGGTGAGTGGGAGGAGAATGAAAGTGATCATGTATTCGCCGGTCTCTACCAGGCGGGCTTGTTAGCTCAGTTGGTGGAGTGTCGTACTAGCAATGCGGAGGTCGCAGGTTCAAATCCTGCACAAACCCCAACTTTTTCAATTTTCCTTTGACTTTAATTTCCACAAATTTTCTTTGTAAAACTAGTTTCGGTACCTATAACCGACAAAAATTCTCCCTTTGTTCAACTATGCTTACGTCGCATGGCGTACATAAGAAATTTTAACACATCGTGGACGAAACCTGCACATAGTGGTATAGGTGACTTACCCTAGCAGGACCGATGCCACATTCGTGAGCCATTGGAAAATTGAAAAACGTTTGGGGTGAGTGGGAGGAGAATGAAAGTGATCATGTATTCGCCGGTCTCTACCAGGCGGGCTTGTTAGCTCAGTTGGTGGAGTGTCGTACTAGCAATGCGGAGGTCGCAGGTTCAAATCCTGCACAAACCCCAACTTTTTCAATTTTCCTTTGACTTTAATTTCCACAAATTTTCTTTGTTAAATAGTAAAGGCTGTAGGTATGGTGCCAAATATAATCAAATACCCTGGACATAGTCTTATTGATTTTGTATGAATATTTATTTATTAGAACAAAAAAAAATAATACATCAACTCAACCACTAATGATTATACTGTTTGAGGTTAAAGTTCTTGGGACAAAGACAAAAGTGTGACTTTTTTAAAGGTTTCCAGCTTTCGAAACATTCTTAAAACTTAAAATATGGTTTTGTTTTCTTTTTTTAAATTATTTTATTTTAGAAGGGGGGGGGGGCAGTTGCCCCCTCACTGTATCCGCCACTGATGGCAATACAAATGTTCCGCTCAAGATCTTCCAGGCTATTTGAGCAAAGTATTACCGCATCTTTCCTTGACATAACCCCAAAGAAACAAGTCTAGAACTCTCAAGTCAGGACAGTAAGGTGTCCATTCTATAGGAGCAGCTCTCCTCATCCGTCTTTCTCCAAATGTCATTATCTAGTGATTCTCTTGCTATTAAAAAATAATGAAGTGGGGGCACCATCCTGCTGAAAATAGATATCATCCAAGATACCCTCCTATCTTAACTATGGGAAAAAGAACATATCGGTGTATACAGTTTCTGTTGTAGTTGGTTCATCGATGAAAATGCTCTGTATTTTTTCTCAATAGAGATTGTACACCAAATTGTTACTATTGGGGTATCTTCATTTAACGATTTCCAGAGAAAATACTCTTGAATCCGTTAAATTTTCTGGGAAATGTATTTTAACTTAATTTATATCTAACTAGCCAATTACAAAATTGTTTGCCATAGAGTGATATCAAGTACCTACAACATGAAGTTGCATGCATTTGCAAAAATACCAAGATGTCGATTTCGATTTTTTACTGCTAAAACTTCAAGTTTTAGGGACGATGTCTATTGATACATGGATACCTTGAACATGAATCTTTTTTTTGGCTTTGTGATATACATTAAAAATAGTGAAGAATTTCGATGTTGAAAAACGGATTTTTTTTACTCGCCCTCTATAGGTTTCAAAAAAAATTGCAACCTACTAGAAAAAACTTTAGGCCAAGAGAAATCGAATGGCATAAACCACAGGTATCTAGCACACCTGTTTTAAAAGGTATAGGCATTTAAAATGAGTCACTGTCGGCTGGGACACCCTGTATCAGGAAGATAAATGTTTGTAGAATTATTCATACACACAATAGGGCGATGATATGTTTGATTGAGTTGGGATATCCCATCATTTTCGATACGCTCTTAAAATTAGTATATAAGGCGTAAATTAAAATCATGTTTAATTCTGATATTACATTTCTAGTGTTATAATTCTGAAACTTTTTATAAATTGTTTCACACTTCAAAACTTATGATGACTTAATTTTCCTTTTAGCTGCTTCTATAACGAACAAGAACAATTATTATATAATCATCATTCCATTGTCTTTACCCATCGTCTTTACCTAATTCACTTTACTTTCTATGACCTTATGATTTCGATTTTCTTGCAATACTATAACTACCTACTGTTGATGATTTTCTCCTCGAATATATGTCCTTTTTGGATCTGTAATTGAAATTTTCCTTAGTGCTTTAACCTCCAAGTTGTTTCAAAAAGGATAGTTTCAAGTATCATTAAGCTCAACTTAACCGGCCATTTGATTATGTAACACGTGAAAGTTACCAACCATTCTGAGAAACTCATCATTTAATTAATGGTACAGGAAAGAAAACAACTACAGGAGTAATTAAAAAAAAAAGTATTTATTGTACACATTTAACAAAAATAACAATTATACAATACTTAAATTTTATTCTAAATGAAGAAAACTCACTTTAATTTGTTTGTAAATTTTATGTGCACAAAATCATCACACTCTGATTGAAACTGAGCCGAAAAACAAATTGAGAGATCAAATAATGGGAAGAATTAAAAAAATGTATTTCTAGACATGAGAAATTACTTCATGCCAGGTAAGCATTTGCATATTTATTTTTTTAAATTGTTGATTCTCAGTCATCACTGTCATTACGTATATATACACAATTACCTAAAGCTAAATGACAGAAAAGGAGCAAATATATACAAGAAATTAGGGAACAATGAAATATCTAAATCAGTCCCATCCATGGTGTTTATGGACTTTTACCCAAACTTTTTCCCAAATTGGTACTGACACTTTTTTCCACGCTGGGACTTCTCTGCTCTTCCATACTGGTACCCAGATTTTCTTCCATTGGTCTACCCAAATTTGTTTCTTTTCTGTTACCCATTTTTGTACTTTTTCTGTGCGCCAGATTTGAACTTTTTCTTGTTTCCATATCAACTCTTTTTTAGGTACCCATATTTGCTTCTTCTCTGTTCTCCAGATTTGAACTTTATGCGGAACCCAGATTTGTTTCTTCTCCGTTCTCCAAATTTGTTTCTTTTCTGTTCGCCAGATTTGCTTCTTTTCTGTTCTCCAGATTTGTTTCTTCTCTGTTTTCCATATTTTTACCCATTCTGATTTCCATTCCATTTTCTTCTGTGGTACCCAGATTTGTTTTTTCTCTGTTCTCCATATTTTCTTCCAAACAGGTTTCCAGATGAGTTTTTTCTTCCAAAGATCATGAGCAGTATATTCTGCGCCATGCTCGTCTTTACCCAAATAGTGCTCTCCGTGAATACCTTCTTTCACCCACTCAGGTACGAATTCCTTTTTCCAATCAGGTACTTGAATTTCTTTCCAGGCGGCTACTTTGTGTTCTACCCATATGGGTTTCCAAATTTGTTTCCAGGCTGGAACTTGAATTTCTTTCCAATCAGGCACTTGGATTTCTTTCCAGTCCGGAACTTGAATTTCCTTCCAGTCGGGAACTTGAATTTCTTTCCAAGCTGGCACTTGTTTTTCTACCCAATCGGGTACCTGAATTTCTTTCCACGCTGGGACTTGTTTCTCCACCCATATGGGTTTGTTGATTGTCTTCCAATCTGGAACTTGGATCTCTTTCCAAATAGGTACTTGTATCTCCTTCCAAGCTGGCACCTGGATCTTTTTCCAATCAGGTTTCCATACTAGTTTTTTCTCGGTTTTCCAGACTTTCACCCACTCGGTTTTCCAGACTAGCTTTTTGCTCCAGTATCCTTCGGGTTCGTGGTGGGACCTTTTGGTTCGCGAGAGACTAACAGGACTAGAGTGAGACGGTACGGCTAAGAAGCACCCGACCACCTGAAAAAAAATGGAATAAAATAATACTATACAATTAGTGGTTAATTAATACTATAAAGTAATAAATTATTCGAAGAAGTAGAGTGATAGAGATACCCAATCAAGCCTCGATTAATTATATTTTCATTAGTTTTTATTGGCTTTTATGTCTAGTTGGTAAAATTTGGTAATTTATAATGTCAATGTCGATTAAGACTGAGTCTAAATGCTAATTTATGGAAATATTCTTGAAATAAATCAATTATTCTTGCTTCTAGGCATTTATATAAATTTAAACAAAAATACATAAATTATTTGTTTGTTTGTAAATTCCTTAGTTTTCTTGTATTAAAAATGTTTTATTTATGTAAATTGCGAAAAATGCAGTTTTAGTACCTCATTACATATTTCATTGAATGCCAATTTTTATATAACTACGAAAGTTACCAAATTAAAAAAAAATTAACACAAGCATATTGCACATTTACGTATGACGAATTGTTAAACTACATAGAGGTAGTAAATATGAAATGGGTGTGTGATACCATCATGGCCCATTTGGAATTTTTGCATTTTAATTCACTTATGTTTTATTAATTGTTGAAATACATCAAATGAGGGCACTTCCGTATATTTCTTCAAATTCATTCTGTAACCCAGCCTCAAATAATTATTGTCCTTTCATGCTCTGTTGACAGTGTGTAAAGAAACTTTTTGGCTACTGAGTTTATACACATATTAACACATTAATTCTAATTTATTTACATTCCAATTATCATTGTAGATTTTATTTGTTTTCAAATAATTGCACTTTAATTTAAGATAATTGTTTCGTAAATTTGATATTTTGCATGGAAAATGGCAAGCAATTTTAAAGCTTTCAATTAAATAAAGAAATTATTGTTAATGTGTAATGGAAATTCCAAAAAAAAAGAAATCTCCAATACAAATTATACCTGCTGGAAAATTTACTCAATAATTTAATATAAATTCAGCAACATATTCTGCAACAGTAATTATTAATAGACTTTCCATGATTACAAGAATTTTTAAGATAAAATCAATAAAACTGATATCTATCTAGTCGATATTATTATAATATATGAGATGAAATTAGAAATTATCCGATACAAGAACCATAAACAATGCAATAACATGTTGTTTATTACAGCAGGGAAAGTTTCTAACGACAACTGTTGATTAAGTGTTGCACAGTTTTTGAAAAATGCATTGTTAGTTAATAATAATTATGTTAGATAGTTCTTGTCTGTCTGCCCTATTTAATTTTTTTAACAATAACTTTTGTTCATATTAAGATTTTATTCAGTATCTACTTCCTGATTAATATGAAACATTTTCATGAAAAATTGGTAGATGCTTCCGGAAAATATGTCTCTGACAGAGAGGTCATTTCCTTGGGGTTTTTTTCAATTTTAAATCTCATTTAACCACGAGTACTTTTGATCACTTACAACTTGTCAAGGAAAAATCCAAATTCGATGACATCAAAAAGAAAATGCCTCAAAGTAATGTTTTTGGTAAATCAAATTGAACTTCCCTGGAACTAAATAATATATTGTTAAAATACTTTTTCTGAGCTTTCTTCTATTGAGCCTGTGTTATAGCCCATTGGTCCTCGAAATATTTGCGTATAGTATCCAAAAAAGCGTTAGTTATATGTGTAAATACCTACACACAAGCATAAGCAAATTTATTTTAAAAAAATTGAAATTGGAATTGAAGTATCAAAAAAAAAAAAATCAAAATTGCAGATATCATAACAACAAAAATATAGACAAATTCTTGAAGGTCGTCTAACCTTTAACCCTCCATTGAAATTTGGGGTAGAGTTTATGTTTTACTGAATTTTACAGAGCACTTCAGGCACTTATCAAACAAATTAATTGAACATTTCATCAATTCCAATCTAACCTAATAAGGAATTATCCTGGAAAAAAAATCAAAAAGCCACTGAATTCACTACGAGAAAAAAAAAATCGCATGCACTAATAATCCAATTAAAAATCGAACACTAACCAGAAGTGATAGCCACTGCATACTGACAAAGACAAATCAACCCCTTTGGTAAAGGCGGGGGTTGTTGAGCACGGTAAACGCTGTGGATTTACTGAAAAGATAAATACAAAAGTACAGCCTTTATACCGGAGTCATAATCTGAATTTGCCCATTTTGCTATAGCAGTCCCCCCTCGTCCGTGTATGAAGGCCTCATGATACCTGACAGTCGAAGGAGAACGCACAATGATGGTTCTTACTTTCTTCTAACTCTTTTGCAGGCTCGCCGTATAGTAAATATAGTGGTAGTTGTACCGACTTCCTAATTCGTATTGGCTGGTCCGTTCTATAATTACGATACGCGGTGTAGAGGATTTCGGTACCGTTTGTTTATTTTGTTAGGCTTGTGTGGGTACTTCTGTATGATGCGGTGATGGTTTCGTTTTCTCACATTCATTGAAAGTGAAATGGTTCTGGTTCTCTATGTAATATCATGTAATTGAAGGATTTATTCTTTATTGGTGATTAAAAAAAATGTGTAATCCACTAACCATTGTGTTAAGTGGGTTCCTGTAATATGTCTTCTTAACACAATTTAAATTTTAGGTCAAATTTCATGTGTTTTGGATATACCAAAATATATCAAGACTGAATGAAGCTTCCAGATTTTAAGTTTTGGGTATTTAGCATTCTCTTATATCAAAGCTCAAGATAAATAGGTTTTATATCATCACACAGTCCGTTGCGTCCATTGTTGGTCTTTCCTACTTTCCTGTCTTGGGCTGTCCAGATCCAATTCTTAGTAATTCTTTTGATGTCATCTATCCAGCGAGTTTTAGGCTTTCTCCTGCTTCGTTTGTCGGCACGTAGGTTTAGTTCCAGCTATAAGCTCCTTGTAGTCATGCAGGTGATGACTACTGTAGCTCTTAAGTCACTCAAAATTGTAGGGAACAGTTTAAAAATTCTTCGCCTCACTCCTTCACTAATTGGAATGTGTTCTGAGATACGTGCAAATGCAAGAGAAATTCTGGGAACAAAACTGTCCTTCATACATAGCCTTCATGGATTTAGTGAGAGCATTTGATTCGGTCAACAGAGAAGCTCTTTGGAAGATATGAGCAAAGGTTGGGTGTTCGCAGAAGTGTTACCATCGCCACCTGGTTACGACGGCTGGGTAAGGGAGACTTTGTTTTTGCACTGGTAAACGGCTTTTTTGTACTGCGGTAGCGTGCCACTAAGGACTTTGTTGAAAGTCCCACTGAAAATCTAGGTAGCTTTGAACAGATACTTTCTAGTAATCTGATTAGATCGCCTCTTCTAGTGCGGGTTCTTGCTACCTGAGCTGTACGCAGTTAGTTGGAATGCTAGCTCGTGGTTTTCCAAAGGTAAAAGAGTCAGTTTCTCTTACTAAACTATAACAAATGGTTTAGAGAACAAATGGTAAATCTCAGTGGCGTAGCTAGGCGTCGGCGACTGCCGACGGCCTCGCGCCCTAAAGAGCCTCGCAAAAAATAGGTCACCGAACCTGAAAATTGGTACTTTTCGATTTTCCAACATAAAACGTAGAGAACAAATAAACTTAATCCTAAACGAAACTTAACTAAATATCATAGAATTCACTAAACGTTATTAATTCTACTGCAAAATAACCTAGAACTCTCAAATGATATGGTTTTTATTTTTTCGATAGATTGTCGGAAGGATTTGTTAGCGAAAAATTGAAAAATATTATTATTTTTGACTAAATATTGTTATTTCGTACGTAGTATTCTGTAGTATTAGCATTCTTCCAAGTTCCAAGGCTTTAGATCAAGTGCCTTAGAATCTTGCAGTGGTCTCCAAAGCTATGGTCTGGAGAGTCTTTATCCTTAAGACATTTCGAAATCTTCAGGATTTTCAGACTCTTCAATCTGCAAAGGCCCTAGAATAATTGATCAAGACGTCGACATCTTTTGCATCTTCTGATTTTAGCTCAGTAAAGTCCTTATTTCAAAATATTTTGAAAAATGAGTCTTCAGAGACTTCAAAATCCCCAGAGTTTTCAGTCATGAGCCTCAAAATCCCTAAGGTGTTAAAAGTATGAGGATTCTTCCTAGTTTCAAGGATTTAAATCAAGTGCATTAGAATCTTGCATTGGTCTCCAAAGCTATGGTCTTTAAAATCTTCTTAGCTCTTAGCTCAGTAAAGTTTTTATTTCAAAATATTTGAAAAAAAAAATTGTCTTCAGAGACTTCAAAATGTCAAGAGTCTTCAGTTAAGACTTTTCAAAATTTCTAAGTTTTGCAAAGTATAAGGACTCTTCCAAGTTCCAAAGCTTTAGATCAAGTGCCTTAGAATCCGGCATTGGTCTCCAGAGTCTTTATCCCCAAGACATTTCGAAACCTTCAGGATCTTCAGAATCTTTAGCATGCAATCTGCAATCGCCCTAGAATAATTGATCAAGACGCCGACATCTTTTGTATCTTCTGATCTCAGCTTAGTAAAGTCCTTATTTCAAAATATTTGAAAAAAATGAGTCTTCGGAGGCTTCAAAATCCCCAGAGTTTTTAGTCATGAGTCATGAGCCTCAAGACTTTTCAAGATCTCTAAGTTGTTCAAAATATTAGGATTCTTCTAAGTTCTAAGGATTTAGATCAAGTGCCTTAGAATCTTGCATTGGTCTTCAAAGCTGGACTTTACAGTCTTTATCCTCAAGATCTTTCGAAACCTTCAGAATCTTTAATCTGCAATGGCTCTAGAATAATACCGTTGATATACCCGAAAAAAGGGACGCGACACTCAAAAAATTCCCGCCTTCGGCGGGCCTGCCGTCCAGCGGCTGCCGGTCTTTGTCGTTATATCCAGCTTTTGGTCATAAGAAATATTATGGCCACCCTATATAAAAAGGGCCTCGCAATTTAGATGTCGCCGACGTCCACGTTTGTGTTGGCTACGCCACTGTAAATCTTGGTAAGGAAATGAAAGAAAAGCAAATAAAGCAGGTTATTAACAATGTTTACTGAAATGAAATGAAAGAAAATAGATACGGAGATTTGGAATCATAGGGAGTGAAACCAATGAGCGTCTGTATAGGGCGTTCCTTGATGGTACAAGTTACATGAGAAATTGAAGATTAAAAGATACAGAAAATAAAGACTAGGTTATAATTCTTAGTGGGTAAAAGTCACGGGCATCCTCGACAAGGGAATGACAAAACCACCTGTTATTCAGGGTAAGATACATGTTGGAAAAGAGATTTGAGTTGTGAAGCTAACCCAACGGTTTTGTTCTTTACACAGGGGGGAAAATAAATGATAGACAGAAAACAACAATCATGACGAATAAATTAAAATACTTGAAATTGAAACATTACCTAGGGTCTCGGAAAGAGAGTCAGCAGAAAGGCATCAACACTAAACACCAGAACTTCGTTACAGAACTGTATTGAATCTAGGAGGCTCACAGGCTTATTTATATTGGCAGCTTGATGACGCTTTTGGGATTCTTATTGGTCGCAAAACATGCAGTTTGTTCATGGAACCAGGAGCCGAGAGTCGTGTTTTGAGACACAGTGATCACACTTTTTCGAAAACCGACTGATAACCCTTGGCTTTTGACACGGTTTCGTCAGAAATTTGACGACTTAATGTAGCTGAGTAAAAAAGCAGTTAATTGTATTGTTACAGAAGTACATCTAGATACTTCGCCAGCTGCATGATGATATGAATGCAACCGTCCTAAGCAATGATGGACAAGGAGAGTCTCTAGATGATTACAGCCGTTTAACAGAGCTGTGTTTTTGCGCCCACTTTATTTTCTCTATTTATAAGATCCATACTTCCTCTTGTCGTGGCTCACCTGTCGCAAAAAGTGGAAATCATGGTACAGACTTAATGACTTGTAATACTGACACTTTCATAATATGGCTGCGAAATATGGACCATCTACAGAAAACATAAAAATCCCATAAAAATGCCACCCACAATCCATGCCTAAGAAGGATCCTATGGATTAAATAGCAAGACCGACGAACGAACATTAGTGTTTTAGAGACGACAGATTTTCTAAAGTCAACTGAAAGAGGGAAACCAAAGTCGAGAAGGTCAACAAAAACACTACGAAGATGTTCTAAACAAAAATATAGTAAAGTGCCACATCGATACCAGCAACTGGGAGACGACGGCAAATGATAGGCCCTCATGGCGTCGAGAAGTCCACAATGGACCACAAACTTATGAAGGGACAATGCTGCTAAAGACTGGGTGTACCAAGACTGTGGAAGAGTGGGCAGCTCCAGAATTGGTTGATATAGTCATCAAAAAGCACACAATCGACGAAAAATAGAATAGAACGAAATCATACCTATGATGATGATGATGATGATGATTCCAAAACTGCAGGGAAGAGTTTAAAAGTCCCTGGAATATGTTCTGTAATAAGTTCATCTTCAAGTACCTACCACATTGTCGCGTTTTTGAAGATGGTATCTATTAATTGCTGCTGCAAGACTTTAATGGACGAACAAGAAGAAAAGGCAGGGAAATTGGTGGTGACTACTATGCGATGGAAGAAAATATTTATCCCTGGGAGAAACATCGCAACAAACAACTATAAGGAAAATCAAGAAGAAAAGATCGAATCTAAAGCGTAAAAGGGTTATAAATCAAGAGATTGGACCAAAAATTAAAGCGTAGTCCGAATTGAAATCCATTACCAGCATATGAAGTGCAGCATTTGAAGTCCTAGGAAAATACGGAGAAATTGAAAGAACGCGAAAACCTTATTGATGGGATGAAGAAACCGAGAAAGATATAGCACAAAAAATAAGAAAAAAAATCAAGAGAAGAGACCGAAACAGATGCGAAACCACCTCGTTATTGTAGTGACGATATATGGAGAAGTTATAAAAACCAAAAGCGAAAACCAGTAAAAAGCTGGTGAGGCACAAGAACAGGTCAGTTTTAGAGAAGATCAACAGTAGACCAGGTAATAAAAAGAAACCAATGTTTCAATAAATGCAGACGCGTACGAGGTTTTATCTGAAACATTATTTTGACTGCTGACATGCCAGTCCAAGTCTTATTTCTATAGGCTAACAAAAATAGGCAGTCTAGCTGACATAGACAGAGAATAATCATATTATAACTGTCTTAACAATTTTTTTTTGATCTCTTGTACGTGTTTTTCCATCTGATTCAGGATGAAT